GGGGGATGAAGGAGGGAGGGGATATGTTGGGAATAATTCTTTGAATGATTGAATCAACCTCTTGAATGCTGACCATATATGGCTGGCAAGCTGGTAAAATGTATTAAGTCAAGAAATCAAAATTTTACTGGAGAAAGAGGAAAAAAAACTGTGTCATTGTTTTTAAAACAATTGTGCGTACATTATGTGTTTGTTCTTGTTTTTTTTTCATCTTTTAGAATTGGAATTTTGACAAAATATTTCTTGAGCACGTGCAACGAATATCACAGATTAAGAAATGGCTTTAAAAAAAACTTAGGCTAAGTATAACAGTTGTTTGAGGATTTTCTCCCCACATACTAAATAAAGAGGCCCCCCCCCCTCCCCCAGTGTGCTAAAAGGTCACAGTCTTTCATCGACGTTTGTTGGCTTATTGAAAGGGACAGATCGGTAGTGGGTGGTTGGCGGGTGCTCTGGGTGCGGTTTGCTTCGTCTTTCCTATCAAACATCTATCGTCCTTATCTCCCCTCCTTCTTTTTTCTGTTTGGTGCTCTCTTGTAACACCTCTAATCTTCGACACTTATATGACTTTATTGTGTTGCAAGTGCCTTAAAACTCTTACTAAAACTAAAAAAACCCAGATAGGTCAACGGTTGGCTGTGGTGTATTCCAGTTTTTCCTATCATTATGTTATTGTAGCTGTTGTTATTTTATTATTGCTGTTATTGTTTTTCTTAAATTATTTTACTATTATAATAATGGTATTGATTATTATCCGCATTATCATCGTTATCATTTTCATTGATAATCATATTGTTGTTGTGATTAATATTCCTTTCATTGTCATTATTGATCTCTTATTATTGATCTTATTATTAATCTTATTATTTGTAATCTTATTATTATATTTCTCATTATTATTGTTGTTGTTGTTGTTGTTCTTCTTCTCCTCCTCCTCTTGTCCTCCTCCTCTTCTCCTCCTCCTCCTTCTTCTCCTCCTCCTCTCCTCCTCGTCCTCTCCTCCTCCTCTTGTCCTCCTCCTCTTCTCCTCCTCCTACTCCTCCTCCTCCTCCTCCTTTTCTTTCTCCTCCTCCTCCTCCCCATCCTCCTCCTTCTTCTTCTTGGAATGGTAAAAGTAAAAACTGCTTTTCTTCTCCGTCCCCAGTTCCGGAACATAGTGCTTGGAGTAGTGGTGGGAGATATAGCAGCAGCCTTTGCCATCGACCGTGTAGTGCAATTCCTACTGGGGGGAGGACGTTTGAAAACAACGTGCTGAAGGAGAGATTATAGATAGAAGAGAGAGAGAAAGAGTGAGAGAGAGAGAGAGAGAGAAAGATAGAGAGAGAGAGAGAGAGAGAGAGAGAGAGAGAGAGAGAGAGAGAGAGAGAGAGAGAGAGAGAGAGAGAGAGAGAGAGAGAGAGAGAGAGAGAGATCGACGGATGGTGCTACTAGCAAATGGATGGAGTAAAGAAAGAACAACTGGAGAGAAAAAGAGAAGAGATGAATCAGTGCTGCTGTTTTGTTTGTCTGTCTGTCTGTCTGTCTGTCTGTCTGTCTGTCTGTCTGTCTGTCTGTCTTTCGTGATAGTTTAATGAGTTACTCAATTCTGTGATGATGAGATAAAAGCCATGTTGAGGATTATTTTGTTCGCCATGTCTCTTCATTATTGTATTACACTCTTGTCTTTGTCTTTGTGTTTGTGTAGCTACGGGATTCAAAGAAGCATTTCGACTCTAGCGTGTTCACGTTTGGGTTGATCTCTTCATGACCGTTTGACTTTTATAAAATATGTAAAGAAGAAGAGGTGGTGGGACCTGAGAGACAGATCAACCTGACCGAAGACCCAACTCAAACGACTTTAGCACAAGAGGAGGGGACTGTATTTGTGAGGCAGCGTGGTGGGATCAGGCTCTTGTCAAAATAATCAAAGTGAAGAAATTTGCTTTTTTCTGCAGGTTTTGGAATTTTTATCAAATTTTTGTTTTTTGGCTCAAAATCTTTCATGCCCATTAAAATACTCATTCATGTGTTGATTTTTCTGAAAAATGTTGATTTAAGGCACAAGATGTGTAGATTTTCAGTTACCACGGACTCTAAAGCTAAGGAAATAATTAATCTTTGGCGGCCATTTTCTCACTAATTTTACCTCTGAAAACAGGTGACCCCCACCTCCTTCATTCGCAAATATCTCGACTTGTATTCGAAATAAATGGATATTTTTTTCATCCAAATAAAGACAAGGGAACAAGCTTCAAGATGTTACCAATAACTCTACATGCCCCAAAATTGACGAGAGCCTGATTCCACCACGCTGCCTCACATTTAGTATGAAGTCGAAGGTCCTTTTGAGAGCTCAGAAATTCATTTTCACATTGTCTATGGGTATAATTGTATTTGGAAACTGTTGACTTTGTTCTCAAGCTCATACGCATATATATATATA